TATAGCCTTGATTCCAAACACTTTGTTAATAAAATTCCCTGTTTGACATCACTGAGCTTAACAGTGAAGAAATAGAGGTCAATTAAGTGTGGTCCAACATTTTCATTGAACGTAATCGAGACGTATTCTTGTCGAGCATATGGCGACAATACGTGAACGATTCAATAGATTTTCCTATTTATTAGGTGTTACTAGAGAAAAAAAGCTACTGAAACCCAGGATGGGAACCGGAGCTTATCGCCCACCCATATCTAAGGCATAACAAGATGCTGCCCAAACTTATCTACCTTCCCAGAATTGGCAGTACCCTTAGGTGTCGCCCATGATGAAGCACCATTCGAAATCCAGGACAGTCTGAAGAAACCAAGAGCCAAGAGCCAAGACCCGAAATTAGACACTACAAAAATTCTGGCACCGTTGTTCCGTGTTAACCGCTGAATTTAACGCTGCTTTAAATGTGGCCCCTCCTTGGAATTTAACGCATATAGAGGCGTTAAATAAACTTTCCAAGTGAAATAACAGTACAAGAATAGTCCAGAGAACAAGTACAGTTTTATGCTTGCATTTGCGTAAAAGATAACTTTTTTGTTCACAAACAGGATCAAATTACGCCCAACTTGGTACCGGATGCGGCATCCACTGCGAACCACTTCGTACGCTCTAATTTCTCTCACAAGCAAAAACCACACATTTCTGAAAACTAGGCGTGGCCACAAACTGCGCATCGCCACAAATTAATCAGAGTATTACAACAGCCATGAAAAACAGCAAACTATCAATTTCCTTTTTGATTAGCGTTATTCAGTAGAAATAAGGCTTCTACTTTTGGTCATCGTCGGTTGTAAAATGAAATGGGAAACTATTTCAATCGTTCACCTCATTAGGACCACTAAGAATTGGTAACCAAACCTTCCCGGCAACTGCTCACCGAGTGCCCGACAACGAGAACATAAATTCTATTACTTCGTTGAAGAACGAGTTTCTGGTACATAATTTAAACGAAAGACTAATGTTCATCCTGATCGTTGTCGCTTTCTGTACTGCTAGTTTCGCGCTCACCCTTGTAGCGTCGTTTTTTCTTTTTCTTCCGTTCGCTTTTGTGTTTGTGTTTCTTCTTGGATTTTCGTCGATGGCTGTGCTTGTCCGATGAATGATGCTTCCGCTTTCGGTCTGCTGGCTTCTCTGTTAGTTCGTGTTGCTGCTCACCGTCCCTGCTGCCAATTTCTGTATTACTTTCACCAACAATAGGAGACAGTCTGAAATGAAAGGAAAGTTTACCTCGTAAAGGATTCAAGCACAAATTCACCTTGTCAGTATCAAAGGAAACGTAAAGGGAACAATATGAAGAATAAACGTACTGATGTTGGGGTATAAAGGGAGAGAAGCAGTACAAACCTTTCATTGTTTTCTGTTTCCCCTTCGCTTTCGTCGTCATCACTGTAGTTTCTCCTTTTTGTTCTTAGTTCCCTGTTCTCTTCTTTGTCTGTTTGTTTACTGCGCTCTCTCTCCCTACTTCTTCTCCGATGCCGGCCGCGTTCATCATCTCTCTCTCGGCTCTGGTCCCTATCATATCGCTTTCTGTGCCTGTCTTGTTCCCAGTCTCTATCCCGCGATCTGTCTCGATTTAGATCTCTGCGTCTTCTCCAGTGATCACGCCACCAGCTTCTCTCGGATCTCTCGGAAGCCCGGCCACCGTTGAATGGGGTGCGGGTTGGTGACAAGTCCTCTCTGTAATCGAACTCATCTCCTGGGTTGCGGTATACATGCAGGAAGTTGCAGTTTTTGCCTCTTGGACATCGGTTGCGCCCAAAAAGTCCTACAAAAAGTATAAAATGAAAATCAATAAAATAAGAAAATAAAAATATACAGATTGAATGACTGAGCAATTTACAACTGACTTTTAGAATCAATCCAGGATTGCATTTGTTTACCTGACTGCAGGCTGTGATTGTTCTAAAAAACTCTCCGGCAAAATTTGCATGTTTAAAAAGCGGTGATCACCGGCTGTAGTTTACGCCGGCGATCGCTTGGTAAAGCGCAACTGGCACTTCTGAGTTTGTACTCGTACAATCCTTCGATATCGAACACTTTTTTTAAGCCGTCTCACTTGAAATTTCAGCCAGCAGCCTACTTTCTAAGCTACAATACTGCATGAACCGTTTGTCATAGGCTTTAACTTGCATTTAAAGAAATTCAATCGGAAAGCGCCCCAAAAATCTAAGTAAAACTGGAAAATTAAAAATGCTTTTAAATAAAATTTATGATGGGTGACACTTCTTACGCTTTTCACGCATGCGAATGCAAGTACAAGGCGATGGCGGGGAGACCACAAGAAGCAGTCGCATGCAGGGGGTAAGGACGCCAAACATGCGCATGATTCGCCGTCTGCACATGTCTCGCACTTGCCTCCGCTGGACATAAAACGCAACAAGTGACGCCTAATCTGTAGATTGCTCATAAAATACCGCATATTGCTGACTTCCACTTGGTGACAGGAGAGTATTCACATGAGAGCTGCTTTGATGCATACCAACGGGCGTTAAACATTGCATAGGCTTTGGCGCATTCCTCTTCACTGTAAATTAAACATATCCGTCGTTGACTTTACAAAAAAAGTGTCACGGAGTATAACTGAAGAATTGGGAGACGAAACATTCTGCGGTAACATTTCCGCACAACCACATACTTCATTACCCATACAGTTCTTGGATAAAGAAAATGGATCAATGTCAATGTTAATGTCAATGTCAACGCACCTACACCTCCCCTAACCCAACAACGGTCAAATTGCAACAAGTTAGGGTCAATTTGGGGTTAGGGGAGGGGTAAGTGCGCAGTTGCTCAGATCAACGTCAATGTCAATGCACCTACACCTCCCCTAACCCAAAAACGGTGAAATTGCAACAAGTAAGGGTCCATTTGGGGTTAGGGGAGGGGTAGGTGCAAAGTTGTTCAGATCAATGTCGCTGTCAATACACCTACCCCTCCCCTAACCCAACAACGGTCAAATTGCAACAAGTTAGGATCAATTTTGGGTTAGGGGAGGGGTAGGCGCAGGCGCGCAGTTGCTCAGATACTGACTTTAACCCAATAAAACAATGCCGAAAACAAAAGATTGCCTCTAGGATTACGCCTTTGTTTTAGAGTAGTATTGGGTTATACGGAAATATTTCCAAACAGCAATCGTAAATTTTGAACGAAGCCTGTGATAAAACATAACGACGTCTTACTTTTATTTTACGTTTTTTTGGCATAAATATGCCACAAAGAACCTTGCCAACCTCCCGCAATCTTAACCTTATGCTTGCGTAGATACCATGTAAACTTAGTTCCTTTGGATGGGCTCTTTTATCAACTAAACAGAGAACTCACAACCGAATTCCTGACTCGTAAATGACAAAAAAGTTAAATGAATGCAAAGGAAGGCCTTTCAAAACAATACCAAAAAAAGACATCATCAATCGAACAAAGGAGTGAAAGAAACATTTAGTGATGAAGTTGAAAGCCTACCTAGAAAACTGCACGTAGACATTCCCTCTCAAGTGAGGCTCGAAGTTACAACACACCTGTAACGAAACCGGAAAGGTCTTTTCAATCACGCCAACAAAATCGAGAGTGATTTCCAAGTGAATGTCGACCTTTCATGATAATTTCTCACGATTTGTGATTGGTTCAGGACCCTTAAGTCATCTAATCAACCAGTCAAATATCGTATCGCATTTCCTCTGACGAAGGGCTAACGCTCGAAACGTCAGTTTTAAAGCTCTTTACAGTGGCCAATTTACGTTGTCAACTCAGTTGATAATACCAAATTACCTCTTTTAACTCTCCCACCGACGCAGCAGAAATTTATCTCCTTTGTTTAAATATCAGTCAGCTTTTGACGTCAGCTGTTGCTCTTATTCACCAGTCCGCACCTTGTAAACGAGGTTTGGGGGCGAAATTTAGATGTAAACATGCATATGACCTATTGGTTTATTACACTAAAGGTCTTTCCTGTGATTGGCCAATGTTACAACGTTGATTTGAGTTCAACCAAACTATAAGTAGCACGGCAATTTTTACCTTAAATTGTACAACAGTGCCGGCCTTTCTAAACTCCGGCAAAGTGTCTTGGTAAAACTGCTTGAAACTTTCAAAAGTATCCCTTTCGTCGTACTGGAAATTAAACAAATATTATTTTAATGTTCATGACAAGAGTAGTTTTCTATTAACTCATCTCCTTGAAAGGTATCCTGAGTTAATTTACACTTTGTGGGGGACTTTGGCCGGACTGCATTGAGCAGTTTACAATTCGTTGAAGTAAATTTTTGCCAGTACCCCTAGACCTTGTGTTTCTATCAATTACACAGAATCCGTGACTACACCACATCATTTTTCCCATATCAGCGTGAAAGCAGGAACGGAGCGAATGAATATGCCATGCATATTTACCAAGAGCAGAACGCACCTCTAAACTTGTATCTTGGTCAGCCTCGTCAAGCATGGATTGAGACAGACGAATGTCGTTGTACATGCCAGGAATCATTAGAGTTACACTGGAGTTGGGTCGAGGATGGTGCCTGGAACACCTGAATGGACAAATGGATATCAGAAATTGGTAAAGAAATGTGAATGATGATAGAGTGTGAGTGATTTTCAACTGAGTGTCGAGGGTATCCGGGATTGCATTGTTTTTGCTTCACTTCGTTGTGTGATTGGCCCAGAGAACTCGCGCCACTTTCTGATCCAATCAGATTCAAAACTAAAACCAACTGCAACTTGGTCACGTTTTTCCCGCGTTTCTGGCAGTTTGTTTGTTTTTCCTGAGAGTTCTCATTGGCTCTTGTGAAAATTTGATTGGCTGTCGTAATTGCTTTGGTTTAGGTTTAACGACACTCATTCAAAAAGCGCTATAACTTCAATTAAAAATTACTTGCATTTTCATAAATACCATCTCCACCATAATAATAAGCTCAGAGACAAGTTTTGAAGTATAACCGGGTGACGGTAGGGGTAAATTGGCCGCAAAACCGGACTTAATAAAGGGAGCCTTCGTGCATGAGACAAGTATTGCA